TATGGTAATCCATTTGATAAGCCACGTAAATCATCGAATATTACGGAACCAATCAACGCATTCCTATTTATCTGATAAACCAGTCATTTCAACTTTACATACTTGGATACTCGAAGATAAAGTAACATTTTAGTGCAGTTCAAATATGTGAAAATAATTGCAAAAAAAAAAATAACACAAAAGAAGTTTATTATTATTAATTATTATTCATTTTGAATATTTTGAGGTTTCGAAACGATAGCTCGTTAGGCACAACTAAATATGTAGGATTCTTATCAACAGATTTCATGGTGTTAATTAAATGTCGCTTAATGTAAACATCGAAAATTTTTCATTTTTCCTAAATCTCTTAAAGAAGTACAACTCAAAAAACTTTACCTTGGTGATTTTGCGAGCAGAGAGCGTTTTATAAGATGTCTCTCAGCTAAGAGCAGTTATAGTCTTTACGTTTATATTAAAACAATCCGTAACCACGAACTTTGCAAAATTGGTATCAGGCAACTGATAAACATACTTTTCTCTAATATATAAATATTTTAACCACACATCACTTTTCCAACAACGGAAACCGAATCCACACCCTCTGGTTCAAAAGACTCGTGTACTATCCACTACGCCAATTGTGTTGTTTTGCTTAACAGCTACGTCAATGTTTATAGTCCAAGGTTGACGGGATGTTTAAGGCATTAGTTCGCCTTTTTTTCGTAAGTATTATAATGATTTTTTTTTAAATGGTATGCCTTCCAGTTTTTACTAAACATATAAACGTGAAATTAAAATTTTATTTGTGACATCGAAAACATTGCTACAATCTAAGAGATACTTCCGCCTAAACATATGATAAGTTATGGAACGTCATATGCGTGTTTGTTTTAAATTAATGAATAATGAATAAAACTTTGCTGACGCTTTGATCCTTTGCTTTCGCAAGTAACAATGAAATAGACTAGGTTACTCACTTACCTATTATTTACCTATTGGTAAAAGGTACTATAATATGAATAAGACTTCACTTTAACCGACCTTGGAGTCAAATTATAGATAAATTAAAAAAAAAACTTTGATAAAAAAGGGTGAAATTTTCAGCGACGAAAGTTTCACCTTTGAATAGTTATTTAAAAAAAGTTATATGCAGAGACCCCACGGAGCTAAGGTTCCCACAAGAAACGGGACAAACACATAAACGAAAAATTAGATTAAATTAAAATTATATTTTATAATGTTCGATCCCCGGTGCCAGCACCAATGCAATTGTTAATTTTAAGTGCTGAATTATCGCGTGCTTGACGGCGAAGGAAAACATCGTGAGCAAACCTACATATTTTCGAAATAATAATAAAAAATATTTCGATAGTATGTGAAGTCCGCCAATCCGCAGTTGGGTCGCGACTATGCCCTGATACCCTCTTTACATTAGATTAAATTAAAAATGTATTCCGGTGTCAGTTTTTTGGATGATAAAGAACAAGCCTACATTGAATAAAGAATTCTTGACTTTGACTGCCAATGTGTCTACACAAGTATCATCGCAAACGAAAGCTTTGCCTCACTCCCAATGATCTAAGTCAAGTCATCTTGGTGCAAAATACCGCAGGGCTATAACTTGAACCATGACAGGACAAATAGCCAACAATATGGACACGACAGCCTGTAGAGACGATATTTGGATTATAGATATCAGTGGAATTTTTCTAAGCAAAAATAATAATGTACTTAGTAATCTTTGTCAAAGCTCTTAGGATTAAATATTATAATCGTGTTACGAATGGCGAAGGACGAACATAATAAGTACAATATAACTTTGATACAATAATTAGAAAAACAAAAGTAACACGATTGCAGTGTTGTTCCTTGTTGATAATATGAATTATCAGTAAACTGGTATTAAAACAAAGCGAAAATCAGTTTATTGCTAGTACTCATCACTTTTAAACTTACCAATATTGTATATTTATTTATGTTATTAATAAAAGTAACTTTTACTTTTATTAATAAGTAACAGCCTATATTATTAGTTACAGCCACTGCTGTGCAAGGACCTCCTCTGTACCCAGGGCATTAGAGAATAGTCCATCACGCCACCTGACCACGTGATAAATCAGCAGTAAAAAGTCGTTGGTTCATGAGATACAGCCTGGCGACAGACAGACAGACAGACAGAAAGCGGAGTCATAGGGTCCTGTTTCACCCTTTGTTAACGGAACCATAAAATTTTATTAAAATATAAAATAGAATATAATACGAGATGAAAGGTTTTACCAAAGACCGCAAAAGTAAAAGTGAAGTAGAGATTTTGAGACCTTTACCCAGCAATGGTACATAGACCACAAGATGAGAAGAAAACCCTTAAAAATATTACACAGTGGCACATTGACGTAACGACTATTCGTCATTTGACACATATTTATATACAGTTATATAGTTATAATTGGAAATTAAATAATACTATTTGCATAAAAGGCAACGAGAATAAATACGTTATTTATATAAACATTAGCAGACTCGACGCACGACCTATATATCTCTATGATCCGACAACAACTTATAAATAAAAAATTAAAACAAATTGTAGTGGATCGAACTGTGAATCTAAACCATTCCCGAATCCACCTGAAGACACGCAAAAAAATTCATTAAAATCAGTCCATCCGTTTAGGAGGAGTTCAGTGACATACACATGGACAGAAGAATATACAGCGTGTCGTTACCATCGCGACAATAAATAAACACACATATAGGGGATAACTTTTTAAAGTTGTATTAAACATTTAAATTCTTTAAACACCAATATTTACAGAGTTATAAAATTGTCCAAAACAAAGAATTTTAGAACACCCTTACCTATAAAAGCGTAACGTAAAGTTCATTTGTAAAGGTCACAAAGCATATGAATGGGTTGAATGAATTTAAAAGAGACAAAACGTACTGTTAGAAGGAGAGGCTTGTAATACGACGCTGTGGCGCGAGTTGTATAGGATGTTACAAATTTTGTTTCTTTTTTACTTAATTAGTTTGTTTGATAAATATTTTTTTTTAATTATCAATTTTGTTTAACGTTAATATTTTTTTATGATTATTGGCAAGTAGCGTTAGACGTGTGTTCATTTATTGTCGCGATGGTAACGACACGCTGTATATCTATAAAGATTTTAGCATTCCCCTTTTAACGTGTCTGTGTTACTTACTTTCAAAAATTGAAGTCCAAAGAAACATATCAATTCTATGGTTGTACAGGATACTAAAAGAGATAATTTGGACGACGTGCTTTAAGATTTATATGGTCCATTTAAGAATTAAATCCATTCACGTTTAATAGGAATCGCGCTTTTGGCTACTTTAAACAAGTGATGGTAATGTTATGCGTTTATTTGTTGTTATTTGCATAAATGTCTGAAACCTTTAGTTAAGGATTTTGGATATGGGTTTTTAGGATTATGTTTATTAGAGTAGGACATTTAAATGTACCGATGACTCAGTTGCTTCGTAAACGGAATGTCCCAGTCGATGGGTTCGAATATAGACAGACTTATTAACAAACGTCGTTTCTATTGATGTACGCATGGGCGTGTTCAACTTTTTTTTAAGAACATTGCCCTCACTTCAGGATAACATTATCCTGTGTTTTAAGGACGTTTTACAATATTATTAATAATTAAATTAAATAACTAATTTTAATAATACTAATAATAATAATTAATTTTAAATAAATTGAACGAGGACAAATCCGAAACAACTATCCGTGGGCCGCACAAATAGTTGTCCCGTGTGAGAATCGAACCCACAACCCTCGACGCCGAAGCCAATACCTTGACAACTGCGCCACGGAGTCATCTGTATGTATTATTATTTTGTAATACGTTATATTAGCTCTCACTTTTGACAAAATCGAGTAGGCAAAAAGATTGGCTTTGTTCACAGTAGATAACTTTAATGTATGGAATGTCTTCAAGTAAATCTACGAAAGCCTCCGAGGCTCGAAAATTAACCCTCGGATTGTTGGTCGAGCACAGCCACGAGGCTATAAAGATTCATCTATACATGTTAAACTGCATGTCGTTTGGTCTGACATGTCCGTTTTCACAAGCTTTAAAGTGTTGTTTATACAGCCGAAATGTTTTAATTAATCTCGAGGAGCGCCTGGTATGTGTCAATTAATATCAACTGCGTAAATTTGGATTATAAAGCATTTATAAAGTTTTGTACAGTGTGTTGAATGAAGTCACGACAGGCCTATATTTAAACAACAGATAAACGTATGTAAGACAATGAGGAACCAGGGATCAGTTTTATTTTCTATCAGTGTCATATAATGAAAACACTTAAACCAGTATGAAAATACCCAGAATTTATCAATTTCTTTAATTTATCAATTATTTAGTAATCATTTATATTGGAAATTGCAATTATGACTAAACTACCAGTCATAAGTATCTTAACGAATAAAATCATATTGAGAATTGTCATGAAGAGTAATTCTTAAACTATCTAAGTTAAGATGATCGTCATTCATGATCTTCCCCAAACCGTTTTGATTCTTAACTCTACATAAGGAATGTAGAATTAAGAATCAAAACGGGTCCAAATCAAATCCAATCAATCACTCTACCACTATTTCACAAACGCTTTGAATGATTTTTTTGCCAAATTAAATTTTCTCCTAATGTGAACCAATGTTCGAAGTTTCATTTTGTTTCTTTACCTAAAGAAAGGCAGGCTTGTTGAAATTTAATCGTAGTGCGTTAATAACCGTATATCAATAGCGCGAAGTTTGCGGTCAAGGTAATAATAGACAACTATTTAGGAATCGATTAGGTACTTATCCACGATGACAATTAATTGATTAGTTTATATACGGCCAATACGGTGGTACGCATCAAATTTAGTCCTAATGCGACAACATGGGTGACATAAATAAATAATTCCCGAGATGAAGTGCCTCAAGAACAACAGATAATAAATGATAAAGCACACATTAATCGTCGAGCGTACGGTTCAATTACCTTTGTTGATGCCTAGGCTGACGGTGCACGTGATATTGCTGAACTGGATGTCCACCGGCTCTCGTGTTTTGATGTTCGCGAGGCGGTTGTCTTTGAGGCACGGGCCCTGGGCCGCGGCCGGTGATGCAGCGGAGGTCATGGGCCCCGCACCCTCAGGCCTGAAGGCCACACTGCTCTCGTTCACGATCTGCGCCCCGGCGAGCATCATCGTGCGTCAGATGCCTCACGCGCGACCACTTCAACAACGTACGCGCCGCGCGAACGTTTGCGCGGGAATGCGCCCGCGTTTCAGCCACCGCGCGATCGAGGCGCCGCCCCGGGCGATCGGGAAACGATTCGTTCGAAAAACGAATGTCGCGTTCGCAATTTTGTGTGCGCGTGTTTCATTTTTCACACGTTTCCATCTTTGTAGATTACATCTATTTAAATCAAATCATTCCATAGTGTTTATCATATTACCTTAGCACGTAAAAATAGTGCAATTTACGTATTTGGAAAATTGCTCGATGTCAGAGTTGATGCGATGTTGTTCGTGAGCCCGATTTAAATTCAATATACTCGAGCGACCCGAGTTCAATTCCCGTTGCCGGCACTAATGTAATTCTTAATTTTATGTGATGGTTTATTATGTGCTCAACTGCGAAGGAAAACATCGTGACGAAAACCTGTACATTTTCGAAATTCTATTATTGTCTCTAACCCTTGTACTCTCTCTCTCTTAAGATGATTCCGGTACAACTTTAGAAGCTCATTCCACATCATTATGGGTTTCTTTGGTGTCCCAGCTGAAGATATTCCAGTGTAACTGAATTATTTATGGCGGAGGCAATTAAGAGCATAGGAGGCCTTGGCAGATAGTCTGGTAAGTCCAAATAAAGAGGGGGAGCTTTCTAACGAGTTGGATACAGATCACCTCCATTCGAAAATATTATTTCATGTCAGCAGTTCTTTTTACCGATCAGAGATTCAAAGTGAATGTTGTTGGCGAATGTTTGAGGTCGATAAAGTTTAGTTCAACGTAACCTAATCAAAGCCCGAGCTTGCACGCTGGGTGCTTTCAGAAAAAATTAAGAATGCTTTGACTTAATTGCACAATTAAATTTATAAATTTATTCTACTTGAAATCATCAAGTATTCCAGTATTAAGAAATCCAAAATTTCACTTTTACATATAGTTCACAACAAAACTAAATTTTTTCTCATGAATAAAAATATCAGTTCTTATATTGCATAGTGGCTTTTTCTGTAATGATATTATAAAATAGAGAAGCTATTTGCGTCAATATTTTCATGAGATTTATTTTGGATACAGTCGCGCAGTTGGTTTTGTTGACAACAGAAAATAAATAAGTATAGGTTAGTTTAGATTAAAAGAAGGTCACTCTACACTCACGAAGGACTTTTAAAAGGCTTGACCTTAACTCAAGATTAAAAAAATTATATTAGTATGCTATCCAATGCTCGAAGAATTGTTACAATTAGTAAAAACTGAGAAACATAACATTAAATTTGCGTTATTTAGCCCTGGTAAATACATCAAAGGTTTTTTTGGAGTGCTATTTCATTGTCATTTTGTTGCATATGATGTGTTGCCAGCTTTAGAAAAACTGAGCCCCGGTTACCTTACTCCCCAGACGAAACGCAGAAGTATAGTACTTAATATACATAAAGTATCATTCCGATCATTAAGAAGATCATTCGGATCAATTCAGAGAGTTTAACCATTCTTTTGGCAACTCAAATGATATTTGAAAAACCATTTGACAGCCGATTACTTAATTTCTACGATGTTCAGTGTTTCCGAAACCGGGCGTTAATGTTGTGGGCCCAATGGTTCCAAATTTGTAAAACTGTACGGTCAAAACGAAACGACAACGGAAAAGCTAATATTCAACTATGGCTTGTCACGTACAAGACGTAGTGGAAAGCATAGTGGAAGGAATACTAGCAACCCGTTTTGGAGTTTTTCAAAGCCAATTTTCTCTGGATCCATTAAAAGCACGAAACATTGTTTTAGCTTGCATGTCATCTCTTTAATTTCCTAAGAGTCATTATTTTTTAAGACTCTCTTTTTTTTTAATTTTCCTTAGATGCGCGCGGAGACAACTCACGGTGCTTACTTAGCCTTTACCGTCCTGGTTAAGTTTACTTTTAATTTACTACAAAGCTGACAAATCTCTATACAGTATGATACTCTTAATTAAAGACTACCTTTCCAATTTTCAATACGATTTCCAATACCACCAACACCTTCAATAATATTTTCAATAATTTTTATTGTTATTGCAATATGTTGTAAGGCGGCCGTTACGAATCAGAGAGAATGTAATCACTACGTTTACGTTACGAATATTGGGTTGACATCTTGATTGTCAGTCTATACAGTTTTGAAAGACGTACTTAACTTTGATTTAAATAATTAGTCTAAAATATATTAAGAAAGTTCTTATTTCGCAACTTTCAGTTTAAAGAAACAATCTAAATTCGGATCTAGAATGAGCTAAAACATTCTGTAAAATTTTTCACAAACGGAGTATAAAGCAAGTAAAAAAATATTGTAAATATACGACTAGAATATGAATGTATGGTATATTTGAATGTTCGTATGTTTTGTTTATTGTGTTAGTATCGCATTAAGTCGTAACTTATTGGTCCTCTAACTAAATGTTTGTTATTAATTTATTTCTTTATTTCTATGCAAATAAAGAAAAATATTCTAGGACAGTTATGGACCTATTATAAAACAGGTCATAATATTGTTGATCAGCTACGAATTCTTACGACCGACGAAATGCCTACCTCTGTAATAATTAAGTACTACTGTTATAAATGAACAACTTTATTCTTTCGAGGTGTTTTAATTCTATTGTTTTAAAAATTAATATAATTAATTATTAGTTCTTAGAATTATACAATGCTTTAAACATACTTATTTCATTTATTTATTCATCGTTTTAATAGGATGAAACCATCAAAGAATTAATAGTGCTACAACCTATTTACAAAAACGGTAAAGTTGATTACTTATTTGTCATAACACAATTTAATTTCTTTGTTCTTGACGGTGACTTTTATCCGATGACAACAGCTTTGGCGCCTTGATCAGAGCATATTTGAGAAGTTGGCTAATAGAGGGTATAAATATTCAAATCGGCACTGTAATTCTTTCCGGGCATTAGGTTATTGCATATAACAGCCAGGAGATATCAAACACGACACGAAGATGTTTATCTCCTTCATTAATTCACGCAAACTGGATTGCGATGTTGCGTGGTTGTCAGTGAGAATGGAACAATGCTCTTTGTATGCACTTCGTTTGATCGGGGCAAAGGGCCGTGGAGTCCGACCTTCGATCTTCCATTATACGAGAGACGATATAAGACGTGTTTTGGTGCTTTAGTGAATTTTCAGTATATTTCCGGATATCCTTAGAAATGACCGCTGTATAATGAGATTATCATTACGTGTTGGTGTCACGGTCTGGCATACATGTTGTTTTAATTAATATGGATTTAAGTCGCGCAGCTTTCGTCTAAATGTTCATAAAATTTTAATCGTCATTAATCTATACAGCGTGTCGTTAGCACCGCGACAATAAATGAACACACGTCTAACGCTACTTGCCAATAATCATAAAAAATATTAACGTAAAAAAAATCCAAAGTCAAAAAAACATATTTTTCAAACAAACTAATTAAGTGAAAAAGAAACAAAATTTGTAACATCCTATACAATTACAACGTCGCATTACAAGCCTCTCCTTCTAACAGTATGTTTTGTCTCTTTTAAATTCATTCAACCCATTCATATGCTTTATGACCTTTACAAATGAATTTTACGTTACAGTTTTATACGTAAGGGAAGGGTGTTCTAAAATTATTTGTTTTGGAAAATTTTATAACTCGGTAAATGTTGATGTTTAAAGAATGTCAATGTTTAGTACAATTATAAAAATGAATCCCTATTTCCCTTGGTCACGCCATCACGCGTGAACCACTGGACCGATTTCACTTTTTTTTGTCGTATTTGTTATTATCAGGAGAAGGTTCTTATGAAAGAAAAAATTTAAAAAATTGCCTGGAAATGTCTAAAAACAACACTTTTCTATATTCCCGTACCAAAGATTCGTAATAATACTTAAAAGTCAATTTAAACTTTAATACCATATCATAAAGTTTAAGCGTTAGTGGAGGGGTTCCGGGAAGGCAAACTGTGATAAAATGTCACTTGAAATGTAAACGTCTCTTTGCTGTGCATCACTACATAGTATAAAACAAAATCGTCCTGCTGTCTGTCTGTCCCTATGTATGCTTATATCTTTAAAACTACTCGACGGATCTCGATGCGGTTATTTTTCTAGATAGAGTGATCCAAGAGGAAGGTTCATATGAATACATTGCACCCGTGCGAAGCCGGGGCGGGTCGCTAGTAATAATTTATATGTTATAGTGGGAGCAAGAGACGGGTTCTCTAATCACTGCAAATGCTTATTCAATGTTGCGGACAAGAAGGTCATTAATATGTCATTAATGATGTCATTTATATCGTTCATTCACGTCTTTATCGTATTAGATTCACATATTGACTTTATTAGATTCACTTCACCTTGGGACATGTCGGAATCCTAGCTTGGGCGAAAGGTATACAACACTTAAAATGTGAACGCATCAAGCAATCTGTAGGTATTATACTCACAGGGCCAAGCCCTAATAGAAGTTACCTATGTTGGTACTGGGTTTTTTTTTTCATTGTCTATTTCTATACTTTTAACTTTAAATAAATGAATCCCACGTTTTATTTTATATTTAACTAGCGACCTGCCCGGCTCCGTACGAGTGCAATGTATTATATATATATATAAACCGTCCCCTTGAATCACTCTATCTAGTAAAAAACCGCATCCGCATACTATGTAGTGATTAGGCGACTTACTAATAAATATTTTGAAATTTGTTATAAATTTTCAACAAGTTCCATACGTTGTTAACGTTTATTATGCCATAGGCCAAAATACATGGAGTAAGTATATAATAATTAAATAGTTAAAGCGTCTTTGTGTGTTTTTGTGTGCCTAGCACTTACGTCAACGTTAATATTATTAAAGCCACGTTAGCCGAATTCAATCCGGTATTTGTAGCGTGGAAAATTACTCGTGATTGATCTAAACACGGCACCGTTATGTTTTTTTTATATGGATAACTTGTTCTC